AAAGAATCCATAAGTTGTTAAGTATAAGCTAGATGAAAAGAAGAATCTCTCACGGCAATCACCACAAATAAGAAGATTGTTAGTAATTTGAATAATAGATGGAACAGGTCGTTGAATGAAATTGAAGGCTATTGCAAGTTTTTCACTATGACTACATAAAATATATTCAACGCTTTCATCTTCTTTTATTGGAAGAGTCATCCAACTGGAATCATATTTGTGACCATATTCGATCAATTCAAGTGACATACGATCAAGTTCAGCATATATTTCTTGTGATCGACGGTGAAATCAACCGTGAACTTTGAATTGCTAAGAAATGAACAAATTTTCTTCCTATATTTTACCACTAATTCACCATTTGCTTCAGTCCATGTTAATCCTACTTTAACGTTCTTTCCAAATTCTTTTATTCGAGTTGATCGAATATGTGCTGCTTGTTCAAATTGACCCAGAGATGAATATGTATTACAAAGAAGTATAGAAGCAGCTATAAAATCGTCTTTCTTATTAGAAAACAAAGATTTCATTTGATTGTATAATCTCTGTGATAAAACAGAGTTTCGATTATTACGTGCACCAGACAACATGGCCACTAAAAGAATTATATAATAATTAAGAAATTAATAAGACACTATACAAACTACTCACTATATATTGATAAAGAAGATGAATTAAATTTTTCAAAATCATCGAGTACGTTTTGTGCTTCATCAAACAAAAAGAGACGACTGAAACAATCAATCTAAATGATAGAGAGAGAAAAAACTGATTATATATAACTAAAACCACATTCAACAAACCATAAAGCCGTGATCTTTTCTGTTTTCACAATGATTTCATTGAAGACCGATCGAGCATGATCAAGAAGACCAGAATGAGAGCATGTATTTAATACGCAAACATGTGAAACATCATTAACTAAATTATGTGGAATTTGTCGATATAATTGAACAGCTTCAAGGCCCGTTCCATTAAGTCCATATGCATTAACTTAAAATCAATAACAAATAAAAATAAAGATAGAAATAAAATTAATCTATTCACTCATTGTAGTATTCGCTATAACATCAGGATTAGAAATAGACTGAAAAATCTGTTCAGCATTTTGAATTGAACCTACTTTACCCTATAAAAAAATGAAACATCAATAAAGTCAATTATTCAAAGAATTTCAACAATCAACACTTGCCCACATATCAATCAATGAACTATATATAGTTTGTTCTTTAAATACAGAGGAATTTGATCAATAGTGAATTGCCACATTCAACTCATACCGATTTACGCACATGCACTAATAAGAATAGTGAATGCGATTTCATCAGGAATAATATTGTCTTTCTTCATTCGTTCAAAAGTTGTATCGGTTCATCATAATATCATAAGAAAAAATATCTTTCTTCTTTATCAGCTCAAATAGGCGTTCAGCACGTTGGATATCATTAAATCTCATTAACATATGCAATGCTGAATTTAATAAAATGTAATTATTTTTAAACTGCTTTAGTGATTGATTCAAACTTTTTTCCAATTGTAATTGCTCGTTCATTGGCAAGTTTACTACATGCGTTGAAAATAATTATATAAATAATATCATTTGGACTTAACGACATTCGTTCAAATAGATCCAAAGCATTTTCGGGCATATTGTTTTCAACATATCCTAAACTGAAATTTATAAAGATTAAAAATCCATAATAATTAACTACCTTTCATCATAGAACTATAGCTGAAAATGTCTTTTTTCTTAATCATTTCAAAAATATGTTCAGCCCTTCTAATATCACCAAATTTCATTCACATATGTGTTGCTGAATTTAGTATGATATTATTATTTTGAATCTGATTCAACTTTTCATGAAGAAATTTGTTTCCAATTTTCATTGCTCGGCCATTGTTTAGTTGAGCACACGCATTTAATATAAAAGTGAGATTAACGTCATCTGGTTCAATAACCATTTTATCTAATAAATCGAATAACTTCTCTGGCATCTTATTTGAAATGAAACCTAATGAGAAATCAATATTCAATAGACAAACAGATAAAAATAATATTAACCTTTGAACATAGCTCCGTATATATAGCGTTTGTTTTATACGCAATTGTAGAGAATATACGATTAGTATTATCAACATGATGACATTGCAATAATAAGAAATATAAAATAAAATATTTTTAGATTTGTCTTTAAAGAGAAAAAAATTCATCCTGAGCATACTTGGAACCAGATTGACTGGCTTTCACCGGTTCTTTTTGTTTTAATTTTAGGGCACTTAAACTAGTCTATTTTTCTCTTTTTCGTCGATTTCCACAACTTCAGTTATCAGAAGATATAAGTCGAAGTCTCCAACTTAAAAATGTTTAGCCATGTGCGAAAAGTTAGCCAGGCTATCAAAAGTTAACATTCGATCTAAACTAAAGATTTTCCACCTCGACATTTCAAATTCACTTTTCTACACTATTTTCAACGGACTGTGAGAAACTCTCAATAGTCGGTAGTTTTTAGTTCATGCTATCGTTACAAAAATATCAGAAAATATTCCACTCTGTTGAGAAAGCTATAATAAATATTAGCACCATGCAACTGTGAAAATATCTAGATACTAATAAACCTAAATATATAAAGTATAGTATGAAAACTATACGTGATAGTTCATTTTGCCTTTCGAACGGCAATAGTACCCTTTTAAGAATTTAGGAACCTGTCAACTGTGTTAAATAATGATTCCAAATAAGAAAAGATCAAACTCATCAATTTTCGTAAAGAAATCACATCTTTATTAAAGAAAGACAGGAAAATCACAGTGTTTTTGTTGTTTCATATCTGTTCATATGGGTGACTAATGTAGATGAAACGTTTTCAAAGAACTTTTCTTTCGTTCTTAGTATTGCCATGTATGGAACGTTACACATCCTAGAATATAAAGTTATTACTATTAGAAACTTCAAATGTGAACCTTTTTGAATTTCATTATGCTCATGATAGCATATAAATTGATTATTAAGAGTAAATTTTCTTGAAACTGTATTCACAACTATAATATTTTTAAAATAAAGTTTTAAAGCAAATAAATTGAAATTTTTCTTTAATCTAAAAAATAATTAAAGAAAAGTTGAACTTAATAGATAATTAAAAAATCATGAATCGATTGAATATCCCAGGTCGAACATTCCGGTCACCGGATCTCGTAGGATACTCCAGGAAATATGCGGGAAAGTCACCATATCCTGCAGGAAAACACGGGAAATCGCTTGAGCATGGAAGCAGTATTCCGGTCAAAAATACGGCCGAACTTTTTCGTCGGATTCCTGCCAAGTTCCGGTGCTTTCCGACAGGAATTGATCTGAAACCACCGGAAAAAAATTCGTAAATTTTCCAACTGGAATACTTTTTCCACAAAATCAACAGAACTACCCGGAACGGGCCGCGTCCTGGCCGGACTGTTCGATCTTGGATTCGAACAGTTAATGGCTCGGGAGAATTAGCTTTCGTCTCACCTCTTACGAAAACCGGTAAATGTTACCGGGTGTTCGGAAATGAATTTCATTCCACAAAATTTATGACGGAAGTTCGTAAACACTTATGTACCCGAGATCGTAATAGACAGGAAGAAGATCGTAAAGTGTTTACCGGATGTTCGGAACAGAATATTTTTGTTATATTTCATGTAACATCTGGAGATCGTAATAAACACCGTCGGTAGTTCGGAAGGAAATTCTAAGGGTTCTTAAACCTGGAGTCCATAAAAGAATTTATAAGGATATTGTAATTGATATAAAACTTTCTGCTCTTATAGACAATAATAGGTTGCATTTTTGATTACATCCACGATTATATAAGTAGACGATTATTCTTCTTTACCGGTACTCCTTGTGTTATAGTCTCAGAAGTTGTTTCTAAGGGTATCAGTTGATTAAAAACCAACAGTTGTCGAAAGCAACAACTGAGAAAGCTACTCCTAAATCTTATTTACGTTCAACTCCAATATTGAATCGTCTTAGAGTTAGACCCAACGAGCATACTACTGCGGCTTCATCTTCATCTTGCACATCATTATCTCAATCTGATCTCATTGCTTCAACATTGAAACATAAATAAATAGCTAGGTTCAACAAAACATATACATTCATCGAAGAATAAATAGAATGATAATGTACATTAACACTAGAGTCATGAATATATATGTATTTATTTTCTTTCAATAAAGCTAGTATCTTGTAACAGAAAATATTAAAGGAATAAGGAGAATAATGACTAATACTAGAGTTATTATAGTAAACAAAAGTGCAATCGTAGTTGCTTGAATCCGCCGAAACGTTGACTATACGTGATTTTAGGTTGCGACTATAGCGTATCACTTCATATTTCCTCACACGGAAACAAAACCTGAACATATTTACAAAAATCGTGTCGTCTTTTTTTTTATTACGGCCTCCATGTCTTTGTAGTTACGAACATCCAGGCATTCTGATTACGATCTTCAGCCAAATTTTGATGTTCATAAAGAGAAAGATTTATATGGAGTTCGGAATCCGAACTCATGCACATGGTTCATTCCGAACACCCTGTATTTTTGTTGTATTTCATTTACGAACTCCGTTACGAACACCATGTCCTTTTTTTCATGTCAGGAGATCGTACAAAAGAGGTGAGACGAAAGCTGATTTCCCCAATGGCTCTAGACATAATGTTAATCGTGAACATTGTTTTATTAAAATACAAAATCTGGCACCTGCAGCTCTTGATGCATTAAATGAAGATGACGAATCTCTAGAACGTATTGCTCATCTCCATTGCATATGAGTTGATCGAATAAAAAAAGACTTTTATGGTGAACCATCTGAAATAGAAAAGGATTTGATATTTGATCAAGTATAAATTAGAGAAAACTTTTAAAACGCATTGAAAAGACATAAATACAGGAGTAATGATGCTTTGGTAGCTGTTGCATATCATATCATGTACCACCCAGATGAATGAATCCGACAGTGAATCCTATCGGATCTCACGGGGTCCGATAAGTCGACAAAATCTGATCAGATTCCTGGTCACGAGTCTACCAACGGATCCGACGGAAAAAAAACATTTTCTTAATCACCAATGAATAAGCATATGGTGCCAGCAGAACACATGAGTCGAATGCGTATGTTGGATTCTGTTAAATTCCGACACTGGAGCCTATCGGGTTCCAATACTAGGGTTCCGATGGTAGATTCTACACCCCGGATCCCGACAGGATTTCGTCGGTTTAATGAAATCCATACTATATCCGATAAGATTCCGATAGTATCCTACTATCGGAATCATTCACCTGGGTAGTTGAGAGCTAATTTGTTTATTCAAATATAGCTCATACTTTGTTCTAAAAAAACATTTCTCTGCAAGATGTTCAACTGTTTCAAATAAAAATAACATGAAATGTAGTCTCTCTCAAATTCTTTCCTAACCGTACATATTCAAATGATATTCTGCTTTCTATCTTCAAGTTATCAAAATGAAGATTACTGAACATTCAATAATATGAAGTAAATCATTTGCTTGCAAGAGTATCATTTCAAAATAGCATCCATGTTGAATTGTTGATCTTCCCTTCAGTTAAGAAGATTTAATAATAGAAGCTCTTCAGTCGAGTAGAACCCATCGGATCCACAAATTCTTGGACCCGGACCCGCTAAATCAGAATTTTCAGACCCGGTCCCGGTACATCAAAAGCGTTTGGACCTATACTAGCAGGGACACTAAAACTTTGAAACTACTCTGATAGAATTATTCAAATTGAAGTAAACTCCCTCCCATATTAGAACTTGTATCACGCAAAACCGTCAGAAGTTTCAAAAATGGTGTTCTCATAGGAAAGAGATTACTTTCTTAAGAGGCGGGGGG